ACCCCTCACAATGGACTGTCGTATTACCAGTATCACCTAGCTGCTACATAGAAGGCAGGGTATCATAGTGAACGTTTGACCTTGGTATCAATTTCAAACTTTTTTCACTACAACTTGTTCAGTGCACAGCATAAAGCATTTGAGGAGCACCAATTAAGTTTCTGTAGTGAAAACAAGCAGTTCCATTTTATTGTTTTGTTATTGCTGTCTTTGTTTTTCCTGCCCACGCATTTGTATTCCCTTCTTCAGCCACTTCTCTTTAGTGCTTGGGGCAGAGGGAGTAGAAAGGAAGAGAAATCCCTTAAGACTGGCAGATGTAGCCAGAGGGCCCCCAGGGCACTAGTTGCAAGAGAAACTGAATTGCAGAGTCCAAAGATGTTATTTTTAAAAAAGGCAATAGCTTTATCAGCAGAATCATGGAGAAGAAATCAGATATCTTCTCTCTTGCTCAAGTATCTCTCTTTTTTTTTTTACCTATACTCTCCCTCTTTTTTATTAATTTTTTTTTTTTTTTTTTTAGGTTTTTGCCATAGGGTACATGCACTCACCAGAGAGAAACAGAGAGAAAGAAAGTGAGAAATCACCCCTCAGGTGGGATGGTCTTGCTGAAATTCCTTCTTTGCCATTCTCTTTCTGAGCTTTTGGACAGCACACACATAGACACAGTGTGATTTTCAAGCCACCAGGTCCAGGACTCAAACCAGTCAGCCATGTGGGAATCTTGCTCCTTAACCACCACACCACCTACTGGCTATCATCTGTCTCTTTTAAGTCTATACATATCTATCTATCTAGCAACCTATCATCTTTATTCTTATGTGCTTAACTACATGTATGTATCTACCTGTGTTTATCTCTACCTCTACTGCATTCTTAGATTCTGCTGATTCTAAGCAGGATTTTCTGTGGTTTTAAACATAACCAGGAAGAAATTAGTCTTCAGGAGAACTCAATCCCAGCCCCAATTCCTACTACTCTGAGAAATCTTTTTGGTGAGGAAATGAATTAATTCACCTAAACTCACCCTGTTGTTCTTCATATCGGAGGAGGGAAAAAGTGGTTCCAAAGTCAGGCCACCCCTTGATCTTATCTTCATGAAGTTGCATTTTTAGCACTCTATAGATAATGAGTATAGGGGGACAATCTCTCTGCTAGGTATAATAAGGCCAGGCTCCTATTTCTACCACTGCTATTAATGCTATGGCATGGATGCAAATACCTCACATCTAGCTCTCAGTTTTCCACTAGATAAAGAGCATCAAGAGGCTGGCATACACATTATGTCATCTAATCACTTTGACAACACTGAGTAAACATTATTACTCCTACTTATTACTCTTATTTCTGATTAAGGAAAATGGAATTTGGAGATGTTATTTCATTAAAGTTTTCAAAGCTTGATATGTGACAGAGTCAGGACTTAAACCTAGCATTTCTTGATGTCAAAACCCTGGCTCAGGGCCAGCAGGTAGCTTGGTAGTTGAGGCACTGGACTCCCACATGGTCAATCAAGGTTCAAATCCCAGACTTGGTGACTTGCTTTCTCGCTTTCCTCTCTCTTTCTTTCTCTGGTGAGTGCACATGTCATTTATAAAATTAAATAATAATAATAAATTAAATTATATAAATAATTCTTAAAAACAAAACAAAACCTGGCTCTTTGCAGTTTGCTTTATTGAGCTTCTAAAGAATAAAGTCTGGATTCACAGCTGGTCCCTTTGGATCAAGCCTACGTTTCATTATATGTAAGTTGGCCACGTTTACCAGGAGAATGGAGCTCCTTAGAATTGATGAGTTTAAATTCTTTCCATGCTTGAACTGCCAGGCATGCTACTGGTCACTGGAGTCCTTAGCTGGCTCAAACCCATTCTTAAATAACTGAATTATAATGAATTGATTTATTCTGGCTCTTTTGATAGTATTTCACTATGTAAACTGTTTGCAGAAATAAACAAGGGACTCTGGACCTTGGAAAGAGCTCAATGTTCTGCTTCTCCTGAGCTCAGTGACTCCTTTTTCAGATCATCAGTATCAGAGAAATCCAAGTTTTAGATCTCCTTGACCTAAGCTCTTTCTAGTTGGAGAAATGTTGCTTGAAAGTGTTTCAAGGGAGCACTGATTTTACAAGCTGATAAAATTCATCCATTTAGGAACAAGAGGTAGACCTTGGACCCATTTAGACCCCCTGGAAAAAGAATATTTTTTTCTCTTAGTGATTATTTTAGAACATACAAAGCACATTTTATGTTCACTTCCTATGAGAATTCTACAGATTTCTTGAGAGGTTGTCTTTTTTGAGATGATCATTTCTACCTTATAGATGAAGAGCTAGAGCTAGTTTTGCAAGGTAACATAGCTAATATAAGGAACAGAAACCCAACTCTGGTCTTTGGCACTATATTCCCTGGTTTTGTAGAACTTCACTCAGTTATGTAGGAGTAAATAGGGGAAGGATATTGTAGACCAAGCAGTATTCTTAATGACCATATGTTCAGATTTTTCCAGTATATGTACCTATTGTCTAAATATATGTTTTCCTTTTCTTTTTTGTTTTAAATTATGTCAGAGGGAGTGTCTGGGCACATGAGAGAGGGAAAAATAATCACACTATCAAACAGGGTATGGTCACACAATCCTCTTTCTCCAATTCTCCATCACATCAGAATCCTGGGCACACATGTACACACCCAGTGTCCTCTGGGGTTGGGATTTAAACCCTGGTCAACCATGTGAGATACACTGTCCTCTGTATAAAGTTTAACCACTGTGCCATCAGTCTGGTCCATAGACATAAATACCCTAGTTTGGATGACAAACTTCTGGATCATTGGAAAAGTCATGATGTACTTTTTTCGTGTTGTTTTTATTTTTTTTTTAATGCAAAAATGCATCATGACTTTTCTGACAACCCATATATGCTAATGTTAAGACACTGGATAGCGCCTACAGTTCAAGAATTGCAGAATCATTTAGAGGAGCTGCAATATGCAGACCTAATGGCAGCACAGTGTAGTTAGTATTAAGGTGGGGATTTTTATAAAATAGACACTCAAATAGGAGTGGCTATTTAGTATTTGTCTGAAGAAGTTGGGAAATTTACACAAGAAGAACTAGTGTTCAAATTATTAAAGGGTGAACAAAGTGGTCCTTTTTGAATGACCATATCCATATTTCTCCTTATATTGTTCTGTGTTAAAATACCAAAAAAAAACACAAAACAACAACTTAGGTCATAACTACTTAGACAGCATTCTGCTGCTTGTTCTGGGCTTCTGTAATGGTTTTTCTTTCCTTTTTTTTTTTTTTTAAAGAATTATTTTATTTAACTTCATTTATAATTTGACCAGAGAAGGACAGAGAGAGTGGAAAGTAAACCTCCAGATCCAGGACTTGAACCATGGTCAGTCATGTGGGAGTCTAGTGCCCTTAACCACTGTTCCACCCGCTGGCCCCCTGTAATGCTTTTTCCTTGCTACTGAGTGAGAATTATTACAACCAGTTGCAGCTTTCAGATGTGCCAAGCAGAAGTCCTTGCTGTGGTTTGCATTACATGGGAGCTTGAGAATTCACTTGATCTTGAACCCAAACTCCTAAGGTATCTGACAAGTCTGTAGAAGCCTAGAGTATTATACAGGAGGGACTCTCTAGTAGTCTCCCTTCTCTGCTCTGATGATTGAACTCAGAGAGGGGAATAGACTTATCTAAAGTAATGGAGCAATTTCGTTTCAGAGCTGACACTGAACTGATCTTGTGTATCAGTTCACTCTAGGCAAAACCTAAACCTTCTGTGGAGTTACATTAACCCATAAATGAATATGAAGTTCTGTGGTGTCAGATACCATATCAAAAACTTGGAAAGGGAAAGCCTGATTGGAGACCCAGGTCTAGCATTGACACACTGTGTGACCTTGGGCAAGTGATTAAAGATGTGTGAGATCTCAGTTTTTTCATCTGGAAGATCAGATAATAATTAAAATAATAATACCTTTCTCATAAGGTTGTTGTGAGGCTCACTTGAGGTAGCAATGATGGAAATGTTTGTGAAGGTATTTTTATTATTGCAAAAAATGCTCACAACACATGATCTACCCTGTTGATATATTTTTACATGTACATATGGTACAATATTAACTATAATCACAATGTTATACAGGAGATTTTTGTTTTTGTTTTGTTTTGTTTTGTCACGGGGGCACATGCACTTACTAGAGAGAGAGAGAGAGAAATCACACCCTGATGGGGTGTGATCATGCTGCCGTCTCTTCTCCATTTTTCTTTCTATCATGTTGGGATTCTGGGCATGTGTGCACATACACCTGGTGTGCTTTTCAAGCTGCCAGGGCCAGGATTTGAACCATAGTTGGCCATGTGGGCTCTAGCACCATTAACTACTAGGCTACAGACTGGCCTTACAGCAGATTTCTAGAACTTTTTTTTTTAAGAATTATTTTATCCATCTTTACTTATTTACTTATTCATTTATTTATTTATTTTAAGTTTGACCAGTGAGGGACAGAATGAGTGAGAAAGGGGATGGGGAGTGAGAAAGCAAGTTGCCAGATGTGGGAGTCCAGCACCCTTAACCACCACACCACCTGCAGGCCCTTCTGGAACTTCTTTATCTTATCTAATTGATATTTCATACCCACTGAATAGCAACTTTATTTCCCTCTCTTCCCAGACTCCAGCAACCACCATTCTGCTTTCCATTTCAGCAAGTTTTTCTGTTTTAGGTGCTTCATCTAAGTAAAATCATGCAGTATTTGTCATTTTGTAATTGGTTTACTTTACTTAGTATGATGTCCTCCTTATTACGATGTTCAATCGTGTTGCCTGTGGCAGGATTTCCTTCTTTTTGAAGTTTGAATAATATTCTGCTACAACTAAGGATGATGGGCTTACCAGTGCTGATGGCTTTGGTGGTCTGATGCTGCAGTGCTGCTGATGTCTGAGGCCAAAAAACAAATACCTATTTTCTCCCCTTTGTCGATCTCTTGCAGATGAACCCAGCCGGTGCTATTTCCATGATGGTGATGGGGTATGTGAGGAGTTTGAACAAAAAACGAGCATTAAAGACTGTGGTGTCTACACACCTCAGGGGTTCCTAGATCAATGGGCATCCAATGTTTCCGTCTCCCACCAAGACCAGCAATGTCCAGGCTGGGTCGTCATTGGACAGCCGGCAGCATCCCAGGTAAGATCCTAACCATGTGTGACATTTTCTGCAGACATTTGAATTCGTTATGCCATCCCTGGTGTATCATTGGACTTGACCACTTGAGTGTAGCTTTAGGCTAATGTAACATTCGGGCCTTAAGAGTGCCATCTGTAAAGGGTTAAATATGGAATTGTTATGGGTAGGGAATATTAGCACCATGGAGGGAATGACTGTCTTCCTATTTCCCTACCTATTGTAGGGAATTCATATTTGAAGAAAGAATTCCAGTTGGGACATACCAATGGAATTCAATGGGGTAAGAATAAATTCGTTTTAGGAAGCTCCTGAATTAATGGTAACACTACTGTGAATTTGCTGTGTGATCTTGGACTAAGTCTCCTCACCTCTCTGGGCCCCATTTTTCCTATCTTTAAAATAGAGAGTAGTTGTGCTTAGTAATCTCCAGGGGCCTTCCCAGTTGTAAGAAGCCATGACTCATTCCTCAGTCCCTAATGCACTATTTGCGTGCTGTGGTACTTCCTCAGGGGACTGACAGTTTAGTTGAGGGAACAAGAGTTTTGGGGCCACCAGTGCTTATGTGATTCCAGGGATGGTCAGGCTGTCTCCAGAGCCACTTCTCCAATTATCCTGCTAAGCAAGCACCTGCCTTCTTTCGAGACTCGCATTTCCCTGAGACACAACTTGGTGCTTCTCACTGCCTGGCCTAGTGACCATTTCTGAGCCCAGTCTACCTACGGGGATGGCAGATGGGTCATTCTTCCCAGCCATTTCTCCCTACTATTGCTTCCTTGACTCAGGGTCAGTGAGGTGAGCCTCGCTTCTACATGACCTTCTGGGGCTCAGTGAGGAGTCACTGGGAAAGGTACAGAAGAGAATGCCCCCATTTGTCAGAGCATTTATTCTCGATAATTTCTTCATTCATCTTTTGGCTTATGTTTATGTTGTTAGATCCTTTTTTATTCATTTGCATTTTTTTTCTGGATGCCTTGACTCTTCAGGGGTCAGGAGAGAAGTGAGGACGTGGCATTCCCAAGTGCCTGTCCTGTGTAAGACCAGCAGGTGAGTGACTAAGGCACACATGAAATCAGGACTAGGGGTCAGACTTGCCCTGCGACTCTGACCTTGGTGAGCTCTTGTGGTTGTGCTCATCACATTGCCTATCTGGTGTCTGTCTGGCTCTCCTATGAGGCTACTAGTTCTTTGAGTTTTATTCATCATCTAACATAGGATCTAGGTAAGACGAGGTGCTCAGGAAATGTATGCTTCTTTGACTGTAGAAATTCACACATACGCATATGTACAGAGGTACACACATTGTTACACACAAATGAACAACACTGAGAGAAAATGCTCAAGAATCACTTCTTCTTCACACAGAATGTCCTGCTTTAGGAACAATAGGGCTGGGGCCAACAGCAGAACCAAGCATTCTAACTGCAACCTAGTGTCCAGTTCCTAGAACCACCTTGAAAACGTCACTCCAACAAGGCAATTAACAACACACTCGGAACCTCACATAAACAAGAGTTGGGGTAGCAGCTGTACTTAAAAATCACACAAAGGTTATTGTTACTAATGTGAGAAAAAGAGAGAAAGAATTTTCCTGCCTTCACATTTAAAGAGAGGCTTCATGGGGCAATTATTCCAATCTTGTAAGGAGGGGGCTGTCAGGAATTATGGGTCATTATCTCTTCCTAAACAAAAATCCAATTTAAAAGAATCATTATAAATACTAGCTGTTGGATCTACAAAGAGGAGATAAAGAAACAAAATCATCCTATTGAATTATTCATTGTAACCAATTTTATTTTAATGAAATCGACTAGGTTCCATTACTCTGGGCTTGGACATAATCTTTGTTACAAGAAGACTTCAGCTGTAACTAAATTTGCTATAATGAGATCAGCTCACTGGAGAATACAGGGTCAGGGGAGGGGATATATGTGCAGACTGAGTACAGGCCTAGGCGAGGAGTGGTGTGGAGGGCGGCAAAATTCCTCATGTCTCCTGAATTCCTCCTGTGAAAACAAATGCCTCGAAGGCAGTCACAGATTCCCATCCCCACCCCCCACCTCCACCATCATGCACACATACACACGCATGCAAACTTATGCACATATACCTGTGCAGAGCCTGCATAATTTGAGGTAAAGGCTTTTCCTGAAGTGAAAACATAGCTCCCTTCTGTTAACAGAGGCAAAAGAAGTAGACCGTGCCTTTCATTACCTTGTATAGTGATTAGAGTAGACTGGTAGTTAATTTTCACCCTGTCAGGGTCTCTAGTGAAGATGTTGATGACTTGAAAGGAGGAGCTGGAAGGATTAGAAACTAGGTTTACCAATAAGATGGGAAGATACGCCTCATGAATCTTACTTTTGCCCAACACAATCATAATCTCCCCTTCCTTCCTTTCTTTCTCTCACACACGTTATTTATGCATGAATAGACCCTATGGAAATGTGGGTCCAGAGATTGAGTACCAAAGCAAATAGAGGAGAACAGGAGCAAGGAACTAGTAATCAGGGTCCATTGATCATCTTAAGTCATTCCCCTCACCATTCTCCACAGTCAGAAAAATTGTATCTGCTTGAGAAACTGAGAAGCACATGGCTTCCCCAATAAGTCACACAGCCTATAAGTGGAAAATCTAGAATGGGAAGAATCTCATGGAGGACAGCAATAGGGACTGGAGGATAAGAAGTAACACTCCAGAGTCGAAAGGAACTGGATTCCCAAAAAATGTCACAGGAGAATAAACAGAGAATCTTGTCACCGTGCATACCCCTTGAGGTGCTTGAATCCTCCTCGAGCAGACTCAGTCATTGCCCACACCTTCACATTCAGACTGCCCCCACTGCCTACCAAGATGGCCCTGTGTCATGATCCCTGGTGTTCACCATGACACATTGTTAACGAGAGGAATGATAAAATGACCAGAGTCTCTCCCATTTCCTTTTTATAGTCCAATTGTGTCTTGCTTTGTACTTCTCGCTGATGCTGTGCAAATGATAAATGCAGGTGTTTGCTAGAGGGGTGTACCTGGCTCTGGGCTAGAGCCTGTGGACTAGAGAAGTGATAGACCCAGCCTCTGACCCTGTCAACGGGCAAGACAGGAGTGAAAATTCTAACAAGAGGCATAACCTCTTACATCAAGTCTGCAGAGTCTCTGTGACTACTGTGAGGAAGCAACACTTGTGCTATGAGTTGAGAATATTGATTAAGATTTCATTTTGCTTTCTAATTGATTCTCTAACTTCATATGTCATTAACCCATTATTGGATCTATCAGTCTTTTTCCATGTCACATGGAGCTGCTATTATCTATTTCTTGGCATGTTCATACTACTTTGAGCTATTAAAATACCTATAGCAATATGTTTCATGTTACAGCAACTTGTGCATTAATTCATGTATTTATTTGCCACTTCTAATGATTACCAGTCCCTCTTGTTCATTCTCCTCACACAAGATTCCCAAATTTGGTTAGGGCAAAGCTAACCCTGAACCCTGAATGTGGTATCCAAATGTTATCAGAAGTATCAGAACTTCCCGATTGTGCAAATTGAACTGAACATCCTATAATAAGACACATTCTTTGCATATTTTGGCCATGCACCTTTCTGGCCCAGCTGGAATCAAGAAGTTCCTGTGAGAGAACAAAATGGAAATGAACCGAAAGAATCAAGTCATCACTCTTCTGGGAACTTTAGAAATGATTTGGTTTAAGTGCTTGCAAATATCTCATCTTGTTCTTATTTTATCTCCATGTTTTGCATTTCTCTAATGCTTTACGCCAAAGGCTGCCAAACTGAGATGTAGATATTTCTTCCTCTGCTTCCACCTCCAACATTTCTACCAAAGCCTGTTTTCTTCCTAACCAAGCAGGCACTTCTCGCCTTTGCAATGGCCTGAGGAGAAATGGAAATACTAAAACCATCTGGAATTCACAGTGCTCTCCTAGGGATTATAGACCTTCAGTCAACCAACCAATTTATCTGGTTAATCCTTTGAGGGTAAAACTTAGACTAAGCATTTCCAAGGCAGTACTTTGTGGGCCAAAGTAAAGAAAACCTTTCTTAGAGTAAGTATCCACAGTGGAATAGAGTGCTTTGTGGTGTATTAAAGTCTCTATCATGAAACATTCTGTCTTAGCTACTGATTGAACAAGAGGTTCTTGCATTAGAAAGCAGGAGAGACATAAACACTTCTCTTTGCTTTGTAATTGATGATCTGACTTCATACTTCATTACCCCACATGAGGTGTATCAGTCTTCTGCCACTTCATTTAGAGTTGCTATTATCCATTCCTTGCCATGTCCCTTCATGCCCCTATGAAAGTACAAATCATAATGTATCTTGTATTGCAACATCATGTATTATTTTATTTATTCTTTGAATGAGTGAAACAAAAGTAGATTTAAATCCTGCACTGAAGGTTCTTAGAGAAAGAACATGGACATTAATGAGGTAAAGAAGAAATCATGCAGATCGGACTTTGCCCTTTTAATATCTATTCTTCCTTGAGAACCTTGAGTAAGCTGCTCCTCTTGGTGTCCTGCTCTGGAAAGTGGGAATGATAACATCTACCTGGTAGAAACTAAGGTTTGTACCTAGTATAAATTAAGGGCACAGAGAAAACAGTGCTGGTTTTGTGTGTGTTTGTTTTTCATGTATTGGTTAATGCAAATATTAATGCCCTGTCTTCTTCATATAAGGCTTGTCTCCATACCCTCACCCCATAGCTGGCCTCAGTGAGCCTTACAGTACAGAAGCTCAGTCAACATTTTATTGAGTTAAATATAGTCACGTCCACCAAAGTTTGTTGCAAGCTCAGAAGTATATCGGGCACTTTGAGAACTCTAAAGAAGAACCAGTCTTTTTTTGCTGCCCTCGGAGAGCTTGCCATGTCATCAGAAGTGTGTGACCAACTAGAATCAGTAGCCAAAGGACCAAGAGTATGAAATTTAGTGGGAGTTTCCCTGAGGAAGAAACCACATTGCTCTCAGCTTACTCAA